GAATAGAGGAAGGATCAACCGCTAGCAGAGTCGCGAATAAAATCCATGTTTTGGTATCACTTTGGGGCAATGTGTGATTGTTTACAACCTCACTATATAAAAGAATCATGTAGTGCACTATAAGTGAGCTACTCGCATGAACATATTGGTCAAAGATTGTTGACTATCTGTATAAAAGAAAAGCCGGTGAGGAGAAAGATAAGCGCGGCGGAGCCGGGCCCGCTCAGCAAATCCATTCTTTATCTCAGAAGAAGGCGTGCAGGCATCAGCCGGCAAAGCCGGCTGGTGAATAATAATCGAAGAATGATCTGCTTCAGAATATCTTTACTGTTTAATCCCAGAGTGACATAGGATTAATTTTCACCTCTATGGAGATGATCTGACAAGCACAAGACAAAAGAACTCAGCCTGATGTAAAAGGAAAAATTCCTCAAAAATCGGGAATTTTTCGACTGGAAGTTGTCATTCGCGCACTCCCCTTGTTCTCGGAACGTCACTTTTTTCACGATAATTGAAGAAAAACAGCACTACAAAATCCGAATTAATATGATTTTCATAATTTCAGCTTGCCGAACAATGCAAGCAATTCGCATGTGATCTTATCAGTCAGTGCCGGAGTAGCGAAGAGGTGAGTTAAAGCTTTGAGTTTTTCCCTCGTCATATAATACTGACCATTCATTTATGATTAGTTTCTTACTAGGTAGATTTTCCAAAATTGTTTCTGTTTGAAGGTGATAGCAGTACTGAATAAGGATTACAACACTCACGATGAAAATGTCGACGTATGGGCATCGAAGCTTAGTTTATCGCGTCTGAAGTTAGCCATCAAGTACGAGCAGAAAGCCGTAAGTTGTCGCTATTTTCAAGATCTTTAGACCTGACCCTCGTGGAATGTGGCTCTGAAATCATAAATACTTTACCCTATTTCAGAACTAGTTTTTGCCCTAAGTTAGTATCGTCGCGTCGAGGCGGTATAAGAGGTCTGGAATGAGCTCTCCACTGGTTATTTCCTTCCTGAATCGGTCACTAACTCACAATCACTATTGCTAGATCAAGAAAGCCGAAAGCGGGCTCATTCCGACCTCACTGACACCGCCCCCGCCCCGAGTGATTGTGGTGATATCAGCTATACGGTTGGTAGGTTTTGTCTGGTTTCAGTTCGTCTCTCTCATCCACACTTGTCAAGCAATCTGCTACGCTCAATTTGGTATGAGGGTTTCCCGGGACGGCAACAACGTGGCTCTGCTTGGAATATCATCGTCTGTATAGCGTTGATCATTTTGTGGCCTGTTCTAGCCATCTGTTATATTGTGGTGAGTCCACTCGATTTTTTTTTATATCTATGGAGGTACCTGAATGAAATAAATGGAGCTAAAAGTAAAATACTTATGCATTACTCGCGATATTGCTATCCTACTTATATATACGGGGGGGGGCGGACAAAAAGTCACATCATCAGCTAAAGTTTTGCAGCCCAGAGAGAAAGACTGCTGAACCGCTACCGGGCGGAAGGATACCCAAGATGTTCCTCGATAAGCAGGAGCTGGCCCTCGCCCATCACCTTCATGTACACCAAAATATGAGGTCATCTCCAGTCGCAGCCTGACTGGAGAAGACCTTTGGAATTCATGTCACCTCCAAACAGCTGCGAAACTTCTAGTGTGGAGTCACCCATGGGTACCTGGAGACTAGTACTCTCAATCTGGGAAGACCTAACAGCTCCGACAACGTCGCTACGGCCTAGGACATCATCTATCACGGCAGTTTCGCAAGGCGTCGGCGTTCGATGTAGGACCTGGACGCACCATTGGAATGGACAAGACCAATATTTTCATAAGCGTGGAACCCCGGGCCTGACAGCTAGAGCGCTGGCGGTTTACATCGACCAACTTCCAAGAAGAATATTCATTCTTTCCACATTTTCGTCGCTTACCTTTCTTGGAACAAACTTTGAACTTTGTACTGCTACAGCATTGGGTGCCACCACGTGGAATCGAAGGGCGTTGGAGAAACTCTCGCCTACCTGGAATGGAAGGGGGCTGAGTACCTAAAGAAGATGGAATATCTAAGTAGGTCACCTGACCTGAATCCCCTCAATTACCCGGTTCGAGCGGAGTTCAATAGGGTGGTCTACGGTGGCGGAGAAATCGACCATCTCGGTGATCTCAGGGACCACATCGCGTTGGTGTTGGCCAGAATCTCTCGATGGCGCTCCTCCAGAAGGCTGTGGCGGAGTATCATTATAGTATTTAATGTGCTCTTTAATATGGTAGTAAAAATGTCCGATAAAAATTTAATAAAGTGTAACTTATAGCGCCTTGAAAGTCATGGAGGCAAAATGACTTTTTTTTGGCCCCCCCTGTATGCTAAGATGGTATGTATGTATGTATATGGTAGATTATGTTGTGTGCCTGTGTGTGTGTGTGTGTCACGAAATACATTAGCGACCGTCCCAATTAGCTGAGGTTCCCAATGGACGACCCGTCCACAATAGAAATGAAGTGCATTCAACGAAGTACAAGGCGGATGTGACAGCCAACATTACTGATGTGAGTGATTAGGTAGTGGATATCAGTTGATAAAATCGATAAAGAGGCCCTTGTCAAGAAATGGTGAGAGCGTGACCAAGTCTTGATAAGTCGCGGATTACAGGGGGGCAACAGTGGGACGTAGCTCCTCCTATCCTTTCAATTAGTATCCTCTTATTAATATCTGAATTATTTTTAATTTACGTCAATCTTTAGTTGAGTTTGTCACTGTAATAGCTTTTGGCCTATTGATTCTGTATGCTGATGAGGTAAGAGATCTTATCAAAACATCTAGTGCTGCCGACGAGAATGCGTACCAACACACCCACTCAGCCCTTCTAGCCCTTCCACCAATGACGACGGCGACTACCGCCCACCCCCAGCACACTGCCTTCAAATAAAAGTTGTGCTTTCAGAGGTTTCTTATAAAAGTGTTGCTTTCTCGCTGTTCATTACTGAAATGTTGAAAACGTGAATTTTCACAAAGGTAGCAATAGATTTTCCCAATAGAAAGTTGATGTACTTGCTGTACGAGATGCATTTATCGACATCGTAGAGTAAGGACATTTCAGCTCACTATCGATTTTAGCTCTACATGTTTTTATTTACTCCTTTGTTTAGATGCCAAAAAGCCGTATTGGACAAATCGTTCGGTCCCCATTCATGAAATTTCTCTACTATTCGATATCGTTCAGTTGTTTCCTACTTCTGCTTACTCTGGCTACATTTGAGAGCTATCGAAGTGAAAAAGGGGAACGAAAGGTTGGAAAGTTTTCTTCAACTTATATTTCCTTTACAAGGCAGCGTTCAGACTTCGCGACGGCAGCGCCTCGGTCGCGCGTTCGGCGCGATCGATGCGCATGCTTTCGACTGCATCGATCGCGTCGAACGCGCGACCGAAGCGCTGCCGTCGCGAAGTCTGAACGCTGCTTAATCGATAAGCGTCTGACCGAGACGATACCAGTTCACTCGAAAACCATTATTCTACTGGTGTCCTCACGCACATCGCGCAGAGTTGAAGTAGAACCCATTGCTTGTTCCGGAATGAAGATGTTAAGCAAACCAAAGCGTTCCCACACTGCCTTAAATGCACGTTCCGCGATAATGGCGTGAGCACACGGATTGGGCGGAGACTCAAAACCATGGTGCCTTCGGTGATTTTTTTCCTCACCTTTTCCTTGGTGACTGCTGCTTTCTCTTACCTTCTTGGGAGATGGGGTGCGACTAGAGGAAGACGCATAGATTGTCCGACTCCGCCCATACAATCGACGTTGACTACGCCTTTGACAACTCACGAATCCAAAGTAAGTTATCGGATACGAGTAGCCTCCATCGAAATTGATCACTGAGATTGATTCCTCCTCCTCACCGCATTAGCATTAGGAAAAAAGGAATACCATTGAGGCATACCAATAAGGAAGGTTATGATGTTCCCCGCTCAACTAGCCATCGCGGAATGTCTCTTGATACAGCTGAGGTCGGGGTCAGACCATTCCTCATCACCATAGCAGGCCCTTTCCACCATGGATGGGCTCTACTTTCCACAGACGCTAAATCAAATCGGCGCTTCAGGATTACCCTGTACTGTCGCCCAATCTCTATGGTAGATTGGAAACTCTAACCATAAATCCGCAAATCCCAGTACACCAGCCGAATCGCAGTTTTAAAGGATACGCCGTATATCAGTCCTAGAAATTGATTTAGTAGTATTTTGATATTTTTTCGTTTGATGTACGGCTGTCATTTTCAGGGCGGTGGGACTACAAGAGCTTCAGATCGCGGCCCACCACCAACGTTCATAGAGTCGTTGGTGGTAGCATGGGTTTTAGGTAAGGTTTTATCTATGGATTTTGTTTGCCTTATTAGAGTTTCAGTGGATTTTTGCCGATAGTTTTTTGTTCTTCTATAGAGTTGAACCAGCCAACGGCCTTCCAATTTTTTTCTTTGGCCTTCTAATTTTTTTTCTTCTTTTCTCCAACCGTTGAAACTTCATTTCTGTTTTGACTGACAGCACCCACTTTATCTCTAAAATGCAAGAAATTTCTTCCTGATTTCAAGATAATTCCAGCAGTGAAAAAATTCACTCATGAAAACAAAAAAATGAAAGAACGTAAAGTAAAAATTCGATTTTTAAGTATGTATGTCGAAATTCAAACAACTATGGGAAGAAGGTTTTACGAAATACGTCCATCAATGGTGGAATTGGTTGGATTTCATTATGATCTGCCTATATTTATGTACGATTTCCGTGAGGTTGGTCATCTGATTACGAGATCCTTATGAGATATAAAAAAATTGAATTCCGCCGCTCAATGACACGGTCTCCGCTGGTCGCGTGGGCGGAGTCAGAAGGTCATTGCACACATTGAAACATCTCTTGTCTTCATTTCTTCATAGAGAACAAATGAGAAAGGTGCAAAGATTTTCCCCCACAGAGCACATCATCGGTTGTAGAACCACACCTCTGTCGTCTGGCGCTCTTGAAAGCTCAATTCATTAGTGACACTAATCATCAATCGTTGGTCTTGCCCATTACACCATCGCCGGACTACCCTTCTCATCGCTCACGATTTGTCGAGAACTCGCCTGAGAGGAGGAATTCCGTTTTTCAGGCTTGTATCAAACATATCAAAACACGATTCCGCCAGCATTGGTCGCGTGGCGGAACTCATAGCGGTTATTGAAGGAATAGAAGTTTTGACGGCTCTCGAAAGTTTGACGTGAATGACCCACAATCTACTGTACCCCTCATTTCCCAAAATCCAATTATAGCTTTGAATTCTGATAATTGAATCAGTCGCCACTTATAGATTGAGCCATATCGAGATCTACACAGCTATATGGACTATCCACATCGTTACTCGATTCGAACCCATTGGGAAGCCTACGAGCCGATGTTAGTGGCTGAAGCGCTATTCGCAGTTGGAAATGTCTTCAGGTATTTTTACATGACTCTGAGGCTCTTCTCTCAATTTTGAAGTAGGATTTTTCCACTTCACGGCCCAAAACATCACATTTAGCTTTGCTCGCATCATCTATCTGTTCCAAACCAACCCGTACCTCGGACCTCTACAGGTAAGAGATAAGTGCGTTCAATTGTAATATCGTTGTGATTTAAATGATTTTATAAATAATATTCATGGACTTTTGCCTGTGGTATTGTAGGGAGGTCACCACTCATCAACAAGATTGGGCAACGCTCGTTCTATTAGTTACTCTCTGCGAAACAAGGTTTTAGTGGAACTGATGACTGGCATAAGCATAGACTGGGCGTGGCCCAGCCCCCTCCCCCTGGAAGTTCCGCCCCTCCCCGCACTTCACGATCATTTTTCAATGTACCTCCTACCTTTCGAATCACTTCTGATTTGAAATTCAGGCTGGGAAGCGATCGAAATGTGCACTGTTAGATCAGGATGGCGCCATGTAAGCTTACCTCCTACCGCGCGCGTATAGACACGCGACAAAAAAGCGCGTCGGTCTAGAAATGGCCAGGTACCGCGTATTTCTGTTCGCGCGCAGCAAAAAGAAAGATATATCTTGCTATCTTAGGCAGCCAGCATCAATTGTTCTCTTGCTTATGTGCACACGGCTATATTGCAGCAGACATTTTATAGGGAATCATACGATTCCATGGAAAGGAGAAAAGACCAGATAGGGAAAAGCTTCCTCAGAAAAAAAACTTCTATCGTGTGAAAACTACCTATCACTGGCGCTATGATGCCCATAACAGTAGAGTGGAAACCTCAGCATTCAATTAGCATCACTATCGTTTTTCATGTGTGCGAACATGATGCTCGCTGGAGGCCATATCCCTTGTAAATGGTCTCAGTAAGGCAGCGTTCAGACTTCGCGACGGCAGCGCCTCGGTCGCGCGTTCGGCGCGATCGATGCGCATGCTTTCAACTGCATCGATCGCGTCGAACGCGCGACCGAAGCGCTGCCGTCGCGAAGTCTGAACGCTGCCTAGAAATATTCAGTACCGGCAGAGTAAGCAGAACGAAGCGAAACTTCAAGGCCTTCAAATCTTCATCCTTTCAAAGCTTGCGATTTTTTGTAGCGAGAAAGTTTTTGTGTTGTGGACCTCAATGCATTTCTAGCTTTCTCCTGTTTTTATTACGAGCATAAAGTTCCAGTATCCATTAGAAGCACCAAAGAGTAGAATTTTCTTTTTCACCGGAATTAGCAGAGCTATTACACTTCTTTCGTCTGTGAAGATTAGGACGCCAAGTTGAATACAGCTGGCTCACGGAACTTATTCTATAGAGGATCGTCCGGTTTGCTAAAATACATGGAATGGAGTCTTCAACCTACTAAGTTGGCTACTAATTTTCGTGTATATTTAAAACATCCGCTCCAATAAGCTACCAACGATAGGTCAGGACTTCTGGCAATTAGAAATGTTGTTATAGCTTTTTTCGCTTTTCGCATTTTCTAATAATGAT